TTCGAAATATCCGGAAATTTTTCTGTGAGTACCACCGTGCGGAAAAGTTCGTCGTTGTGTGATAAAAATAAGTTGTGCAAAGTTTCAGCTCATTACGATATCATACAGGCATAGCTTCCATACAAAAATCCAAATTTTTCGCATTTCTCGCAGCTCCAACTGCGTAATAATGTATGAGTTTTGGACGAGAATTAAATATGAATATATTGAACAAAATATGATTGCTATTAATACTGTTAATGTCTACTTAATAAATATGAATCGAAAGTATAATGAATCTATTTAAAAAGAAACCGAATTAAAATGAAAATATGTAGAAAATCAAAATTAATAATAAAAACATCTTGAATTTAGTACTCAGCATCCATATGAAATTTATGAATAAAACATACTTAATATCTTTCAACAGAACACTCTGAAATGGCTTCATTTATTTTCATTTATAGAAGGGAATTTAAAAGTCGCCGATCAATGTGAATGGTTACATATTGTGCTTATTTCATTGGCATTTAGTTACATACATAGGAGTTAGGGTATTTGCAAATCAAACAAAAAACCCAATAGAGGTGAATTTAAAAAAATGGTTGAATCGAATATTTCCCGTGTTTTTTCTTAATACCGTGTATTTGATAACTTGTAAGGTAAGATAAGAAGTTTATTTATTTTATTTTCACATCTACTTAAATCATGTGGAGAAAATAAACTGGCAGGTAACTGTGAATGTATTTTTTGTCTGGTAAATTTTTGAATTTTACATTTACGATTACATCAAATATTGTGATTACAAAGTAAAAATTTGCTTAAAAATAACTCTGTTTTTTTTTCGAAGGTCAAACCAAATAAATTAAAAGTCTTCTTATCATTTCCATTTGAAACACTTGTTGATAATCTCTCATCATGAGTCATCAACAAGTGTTTAAATGACAATGATATTCAATTAAATTCCGTTTATTAGTGCTTCTTCATTTTGCCCCTTGCCTCCTTTGCCTCTCTGCATTTGACTTATTCTTTCCGTCACTGCTTGTACTAATACTTGACTAGCATTTTTTATGATAATGAAATTATTTTAAATTGATGGATGTTTTTAACAAAAAGTCTACTTACTATTGAAGTTGGTCCATATTTTGTCTGTATAAACATAGAACAAAATTATGTAAGGTTGTAATATATATGTGGTAATTTTTCGTTAATATACTAATGCTGCAAACTTAGAACAAACAGATTGATTCATATAAACTTACTCTAATACCGTACAGTAGTTGATTCTGTGTAAGATAAAAAAATGATAAAAATTCTATAAAAATAAGAAAGTTATAATTGGAGACACATACATTCCTTGTACGTCCATGCTTGCCATTTGTTGTAGTAAACTGACTAAATACATTCGAAGTTTTAATATCAAATAATTCGTTTCATTTTGGATTTCATGACCATACCCAGATATATATTCTTTTTGCCAGCATCAGACAACATCAAAATAATTTAATAATTTCATGTGAATGAAACATATAGACAAATTTTAAAAAAATGATTTGAGTTCTTATTGAATCTTCTTAACGCAGTTATCACCAAAACGACTACAACGAACAAAAGTAAATTGCGGAAGAACGCCATCTTGTTTAGTTCAATTAGATTGTGTTCTGTGGCGAATTCTCAAAATAAACTGAAGTTTCTCTGTTTTTTTCGGCTCCGTATTTATTGGAGGTTTGCTCTTTAAAATTTTAAACGTCGGAATAACTTCTTTTGATCAAACAACATTTTTAAACCACTTGCATCAATACAAATTTTGGTTTTACGCAAATCAGAAATTCCTTTTACGTTTCCGAATTCTTGTAATAATGCCAAGGAATATTTGCATCACGGAACAGAGTTGTCAACGGACCAGTCAGAGATTGTTTTTATCCGTTCGAAACTAACAAAATTAAAATTGGAGCTCGTGTTCGTTTTTGTCGCATATGAAATATTTCATTGGAAAAATTTTGAAACTCGAGCAAGAGAGTCCGAGTCTATCACTATGTTCGCCCGAATTCGCTTCGCTCTTAGCAAATGGTGTCCAAAGTTTGAAGTAAAGTCGAAGAAACCCGGACGAACTTGGACTGTCCGTATCCGTTGATAACACGTCGTGACACGAAATAGCTCAATGCTTATAATAATTGATACGCCAACAATAATAATAATAAAGTAATCAAACGTTGGCCAAAAAGTGTTTTGAATTATTTTTCGAAAAAGAAAAAGTAAAATTTCAAATTGACTTAAAAGAAACAAAATTTTTCTATAATAATGATATAATATCTTCTGTGACGATTAGGCAAAAGATTAAAACTTGATCGATTTGATTAAGGGTTGAATTTCAGGTTTGAGTAGATTTTTCAAATGCCAGTTGCTTTTTGTAATCTATGGACCAGTGACTTTCCAACCATACATCATACTCCGGAAGGCCTTCCAAGTTAAGACTTTGAAATTTTCGTGTCGACTTTTCACGACACCAAAATCGTTTCGTCAGCCTGCCAAACTTTCGTCCACGTGATAAAACCGGAATTTATAAATTTTCCGTTTTAGGGAGAGAGAGAAAAAAAAAGAAAGAGAAAATAGTAGCGTGGATCTTTAAACACATCGCAAATAATTTGCACATAATTTATCTAAAAATGAAATATATGTAAAATGAATTCAATAAAAAATGAACTTTTCATCGTTTTTTCTCTCGCATATTCAGATGAATAATAATCAACGTGAAAAAGTTAAATCTCATGATAATACATGCCTGACGCAATTTAACTTTTTCAAGGTAATTTTTTTGTGATTTTTGCATCCGTTTTCATGCAAGTTATGTTTGTGATTGTTGGGAATTTGGTCGCCTTATAAAACTTGAGATGAATGAAAATAAAACGGAAAAGAGCGAATTCGAACGAGAAATAAAAACTAAACGCAAAATTTCACATCATGTTTTGTTCCGTTTTTTCAGACGATGCTTCAGTCGTACAAGAATATTGTCTGCATGCGATTGGCCTTGGAATTTTTACCGTATAAATAATGTTTCTGCGTCGAAATTGCTTTGTATAGTATTTTATTTCATCGACCATTGCCAAAAGAGATAGCGGTATTGTGCCATCATCGTCCCCTTTTTTCTTTCTTTTCTGCTACTTTGAATACACTTTGTTGTTCACAAAAAAACCGGCAATAAAAACTTTCGTTCTTTTTTTTCAATTTTCTCTCTGTCACTCCTTTTCTCCGTAATTATTGATCCATGATGTTATAGTATTTGGGTATGTTGCGTTTTCGTATTGCACATAGCTGGTATTGCCGAAGCTGGTGTTGTTTAGACACATATCTTTTCGAATTTCTGTGTTGCGGTACTGTTTTCTGGCTTTTAAGGTTGCGCGCGCTATAATTTTATGAAATGTTCTTTGTTATGCGAAGTGGCTTTTGCTATACAGTATAACTTTTGTTACTTAGCATAACTGAATATAAAAACGGTTGAAATGCAAAAAAAGCACGAAGGAAAAAGAACTGAGAGCGAAAGAGAAAAATCCAGCAAAAACAAAAAGTTTTTTTTTCGTGTGTTATTCGCTTCACTTGTTTGTATTATAAGTTCGGTTTATCTTTTTTTTTTTGAAAATGGCATACACAATGCAGCTCTGCGAGATGACAAGGATATAAAGATGAAGAATGGCAAGGAGATAGAGAGGGATAGATCATGGTACATTAGTCGGTATGTGTGCGTATGATACATGGGTGTTGCGAGGATAAAGTTCTTTGCGCACAAATTTGGACAATATTAACTTTGTTTAAATTTGGCTTGTTCTTCCTGTTTTATTTTCTCTCTTTCGTTCTTGCCGTTCCTTATTTATCGTTTGTGCTTGGTGAAAGCGAAAAAAAGATCTGGAAACACCGACGAGAAAAACCACACACACAAAATACGAATTGCAAAACGAAACAAACGCAATATAAAGTATCTGGTTTTTATCTTCTGAAAAATGCATAACGAGGGGAAAAATAGTAAAAGAAACAAACATTTTCAATAAATTTTTCTGAATAGTGTTCCAGTCTTGACAGATTACAATGCTGCAAAATACAATATGTGAAGCAGGGAAGACACTGAGAAAATGGTATGTCGAAAGTGGGAAAAATCACTTGAGTAAGCATGTTTCATCTTTTGGCATTTATGAAAATTCAAGAGATGAAATGAACATTGAAAGACCACAATTGTGTGTATACCATTCATATTGATTGAGGATGACTTCGAAACAAAAAAAAAAAACGAATCATCGGTGTACGAAGCGGAAAATATAAAAAAATAGAGAGCATCCCCGTCAAAATAGTAGTTCATTGGATTATAGGCCCCTTGGAGAAACAGATTAAACCAGAACAAGTAAAAGAGAGGGAAAAAACCATGTCGAAGAGGAAAAGAGACGATGTGGAAAAAGTGGTTCATGCAAATAGGAATTATAAATATGTAAATACGTTGTGTTATGCAGTTGTGGTTTACATTTTTCCTGCGTCTTCTTCTTCTTTCATCCCGGGTTTCTCTCTCTCTCTCTCTCACTCTGGATGTTTGTGTTTCTCTTTTCATCACATCGAAACATGATGAAGTATGGAAAAACATTCGAATGATAAAAAAATGAACCAACCGCATATTGATGCGACTGCCAACTTGAAATAATTTTTTTAAACACTTTCCCGTTGTCAATCTTTTTTTCTGCTCTCTTTTGCATATGGCAAACGAAAAAGGCTTACGCCTCATCCTGTGCCACAGCACAACACTGATAAAAATAAGTGTTGACGTGTGTGATATGCCAACATTTTCCTGCATGTCTTATTCTCACTCAATGTGATCGCACTGCCAACAATTTACATATTGCAAACTTGATAAAAACCAACACAAACGATGTTTTCAACAACGTAAAAGTTAAAATTATGATAAAAAAAACATACACGAAAATAACTTGATTTTACTCAAACACCGGCCGTTTTTCTTCTCTCTCTCTCTCTCTCAATTTTAGACGCCTGAAAACTGCGCTGGCGGCGGTGATTGTATGCCAATGATTATTTCATGGGAAGGAGCAGCTGAAATTCAATCCGGAGACGTACTTATCGTTGAAATTGACGATACGCTATTATTGCCAGCCGATATGAATCCAAGCACAGCCAACAACATTGATAATGGGTAAGTGTCATTTTTCATTTTCCAAAAACTAACTTTTCGTTTACTCGAACTGGCATTTTGGTATTGAATCAATATTGACCAAATCATACAAGCCATCATTTGGCATTTGCAAAACTTCTCTTGCTATGTGTGTGCTTCAGCTGAATGATGAATACCAACATTCCGAACATTGTATGCATTGCTGATGTTGTGGCTGGCTGATTTATTTGTTTAGGAAACATGTTGTTAGTTCTCAATTGAATGATGTTCGTTCGTATATTCGATCTATGCAATATATATATCGATATGGTGTTTTCCAACGTCATGCTTATTCGAAAAAACTATTTTTCATGCTGAATCCTCACTTATTTTCAATCTCTATCACGCTCACACTTCATTCAATGAAACAATTTTCAGCAAATCTCCATTTATATTTTACCCGCTTTTTTGCAATACAATTTATTGTAAAACTGAGATTCGTAATTTATTTTAGCGAATACAGCCACATAAAAACATGGCTCGTAAAGTAAGTTTTTTTTAATGCGAGCGAGGCGAAGAGATGTTGGATTTACAATGGTTAGCTTTAGTGTTTGTTCAGATGGATATTAAAAAACATTGTTTAATCGAATGCTAAATCCACCTCATCGCTATGAACGTAGACAATCATAAATTGTAAAATGCAGATTCTGTTCACTGTTTTTCTTCATTCTCCCACTCTTGCCATCCATGTTTCTATCCACGTTTCATCCATTCAGCTTATTCATGAGCCATTCGGTAGTCATTTAATCTGCCAAAAATTCTATGTGGCTTTTTCGAAAATCAATAAAACCTCTCAAACAACAACAACAACAAAAAATTCCAAACCACCAAGCCGGGAGGATAGCGAATTTTAACGAACAACGAGAATGTAAATTTTAATCAACATAATCTTCAAAAATACATAAAAGTTGGGAAGAACATTCAATGCGCGCAAAAACAAATGACACACAGAAAAGGAGACAATGGCATCAAGCCAGAAAACTTTATTATTTATCGGATGCTCTAAACCAAATGCATTTTTATTCAGTTGACGTTCTTTTTTTGCAACAAACATTTTGAATGCAAGCATGAAGGAGCATGACAAAGAAAAACCGCAAGATAGAGTGAGTGAGAGAGAATAGCCGAACATCGTAAATTTATGGCATATTCAACAAAGAGTTCATGTGTGTTCCAAGGAATTTATGGTATGTTCCAAAGATCGAAATGTAAATTTGGATGTCGTTGATCCTTGTGAATCAAAATTCAAAATTCGCAACGGAATATTAAGATTGTGTCGTAGATTCGTGGCAATGAACAAAAGAAGCTTTAAGAAAATCATGTTTGCATACATGAAATGTACAAAGAGCATTCCATTTGGTTGTTCGATGGTATTTTTTCATATCGACGAATATGGCTGCATTATACGAATACAGTAATCGATTCTCATCTTTAAAACTTTTGGTTATTTTTCCATAATTTTTTTTTCTCCTTCATCGCTGCCTTTTTGTGCAGTGCTGTAATATTGATGCGATGCAACATTTTCAAGTGAAATCAAACACGTTCCAATGTAAAAATATCTGACTATAACAATTCTCCGGTTTGAAAATCAGCCAATGGGTATAACATTCATAAGCGAAAATATTGAAGTCGAAACAAACAAAAGAAAATCACAAATGTTTAAAATGTACTATATGTGTATGATGAAATTGAGAAAAACGTGCACACCATTTTTGGAATATTCAAAATTATATATGCAATGCAGCTACATCGAGAAGTATGGATGATCAGAAAGTAGTCACCATATCGTCTCGTTCTTCATTTTATTACTGAAAGTCTCAGAACATCGGCACCGACAATTTTCCATTTACCATACACTATTATCATTTTTGTGTATGTCTCTCGCACACTTCCATGCTATCATGCGAACGAACGAAAAAAAGACACACACACACAAACTGACACCTGATTATGTATGTGGTTACGGCTGAAAGAATGGAAACCGTTCATCCCAACGATGCCCCGAGCGCATTGAATACGCAAAAGAAGAATAACACGATGATAATAGAGATTCTTATTACATTTGAAATAACAATAAAATCGCAAGCGATTCTGTAAAATCGGTATGTTAGTCGAAAACGATGCCACACAAAACTTTTTAAGCTAGTCATCATCAACGTTGTTGCTCATACATACGTGGGATATACGCTTAATCGCAATTTCAAAGCGGACTTTTTCGTATTTCACTCGACGAAATGGCATTTTATTATTTAGAACAAAGGAATATTTTTCATTTCTATGTTACAAATTATAATGGCTCAACAATTTATGCCACCACTTTTTCAAATGTATTTTCCATTTTTTTTATATATGTGTGAACGATATGCTTCAAGCGATATATGCTTTATTCGCTCTCTCGCTTTCTCTCTTTGCTTCTATCCCAACTCCTTATTACTTATGCACGTACGGCATAACGACCGTGTTCCAGATGTGAATGGAGAAAAAAGGCGATCATTCGAGAGTAAGAAAAGTGAAAAAAAAAAAACGATGAATGTTCCGAAAAAAATGTCGGCGTGAATTATGTGATCCAAATGTATAATAATGTTGTGAGAGTTGCGGTTAGCATTTATCATCATGTTAATATTATTCATATTAATCGGTATATGTACTTCGCATGCAAGACCTTCATATTGTGTGTCTGAGGCTCAGAGGCCACATGGTCGTGCGTGAATGCGAATGGTTTTGCACGTGTTCACTCAGCAGAGAGACAAAAGCAGCACCTCGACTCAACAGCCGTGGTTCAAAAGTTTTTCATTTTACGCCATCATTATTTTTCACTTGAAGAATTGCTTTTCTTTCTATTCTTCGTCATTCCGTGTGTGTGTGTGTGTTTGTGTATTTATGTGGCACCCACGATTTTCATTTTCAACATTCACATTCGATGCAGGCGGATAATAATGATAATCGAACATCCATTAAATTGGTTTCAACTCTTTGCCATTTAACACGTTGAGCACATGTTCGACAATTGAGCAAACGTTCCACATATACCCTCTTCGTTGCCAAATTTACGTGTTGTATGACCATTTTTAAGCTAAAAATGTATGTGAATTGTGCTCTTGTGCCACAAAAACTCCCCTGCCACGAAAAATTGACACACTCACAATTTAGAAAACGTAGACAATGAACATGCCATTTAAAACACAATGTAGATAAATAGTAACATTTGTATACACTTACGTGACACTTAATGCTACATGTTCGAGGAAAACATGGTATTTTTGTGGTCGCGACATATTTTGGTGTCATGGCAACTCTGATGGAAAATCTTCTTTTAAAATGAAGCACCAACCCAGAGTGTTCGAGTCTTTTTGTTTTTTGTCAATTTTGCAAGAAAAACCGACAATTGAATAAATGTGTGATGGAATTAGGATTAGCATGAATATTTTTGAAGTCTTCTCGAAAGGAGTGAAAAAGTAATTTTCAAAGCCATCAAAATACCATACTTAAAATGAAAAGTGAAAAGCCATCAAACAAATCTGATGGAGTGCTTTATTCGAAAACAAGGAAAAAAAGCTTTTGGCCCAAAAGTCTCATGAGGTACTCACTCGATTTGTCAAGCGATTGTTTATTTTCCGTTACTCCGTTTTCTATGTTGACACAGTACACATCCGATTCTCGGCTAAATAGGAAAATGAAGAGCCCAAAATCATTTAAAATTAATTAAACATGACCAAGTCTGTGGGATACAGAAAGTTTTGTTAATAAATATATTTTGTCATGTTTCTAACTTATGTTAAGTCAAATACAATTAATTGTATATGGAAACTGATCTCGAAATAGAATGTGAATTATTTCTATTATATAATAGTGACCGCTATTTAATTTGTAATGAAATAACTTCATTTAAATATGTCACACTGCAGATTCTCCAGTTACAATTGAAAAATCAAAACTTGTGATGTGGCCATGTGCATATCGTCACCGCATTTAAACGCAATACAATACTAACTAACCCATCAAATGTTTACCGCATCACCAAGCTGGCCGCATGATTAGGTTGTTGTACCGAATCATACCATTAATATAATTACAGTCTAGATTGCAACAGTAACATCACATTTAATGTCATGTTTATTAAATATTTGTGCAGTTCATTTGACGATGGCAAGTAAATCTGTCTGCTTTGATAAACACAATTCTCTTGGCTGTGCTATGGATAATTATATCATCCTTGAAATTGCGGCGATTAATATATTCAAGTGCTATTCAATTAATACACCGAAGAGATTTTCGTCATCAAAATTGATAGGAATTTCGGCAAAATGGCTACGATTTCGCTCGGAAGAATGAGCCCACGTCATCTTTGGCAGCTTGTTGATTCCGATTTCGATTGACGAAAATGCGAAACGTGTTGAATGGACTAAGTAGGCACAAATCGATAGGGAACCATTTTTCAAAATAAAGCCAAAATATAGTATAATTAATTTTGCTGATATGACAGCATATTTCGATCGAAAAGAATTCGAATCCCAGTTAAGACACATCGGTATGCAGTATTTTTACCACAGAAATGACGAGGATGGGAGAAAGAATGAAGTCGAAGCTCAAAAGAAGGTGAACGAAAATGGCATGGAATGAGTGAAATGGACGAATTGTATGAATACTCCAATTTCATAATTATCGGCTAGGGACTGAAACGGTATTTGAATTTTAACATCTTTGTCGAAAATGTTCAGATCTTTTAGCAGAGCACCGACGGCGGTAATACTGTATTGGGACTTGTATATATCAATGCAGACAGATTACAAAATAGATCCAAATGTTGGAATGCATACACGTATTACGTGTGCTCGGTGTATGGCATATTTTGTATTCATCACGAGGCATCAAAGGCAGATTCGTTCTATCGCAATTACAAGTATATTGAGCACATGTCTCAATTTTAGTATTCGCTTGAAAGACAAAACAAATAAAAATATCCACAATACTCATTGCTTTCACTGTTCGTACAGTGGTAGAGAGTTGCGATATTCTTTCGAATACGATCCGAAACCATCGGTCATTCTCCCTCTCTCGCGTGCTGACAGCTAATACGATGATAACCGCGTGAATGTGTCTGACACGAAAATCGTAAATTACTCATGAGGGTCACTTTATAATACTCTCACTTTAGCATTCATTCCATTGCCATTTCAATGTAAAAATTGATGAATATTGAGTGTATATGTATGTTATCTGCAATTGGTCTCACGTGAATTCAGTTTTGCGATTATTAGCCACGCAACAGTGCATATAATCTCGTTCTCTCTCTCTTTCCTTCTCTCGGAAACGTCGATCAGCAAAATGTGTTGCACGTGAGCGCACTGCATATTTCGATGTATATCGATATTTATTGATACATCAACCTCATCGGATTGGATCAATGTACACACGCACACACCACCGTCAACAATAGAACACATGCAATTTCGGGAAAACGCAATTTTCAATTCAATTCATCTCTTTAATGCTTGCCAATGAGCTCGTTCGTTTCTTTAAATAAGCACATTTCGTTTCGATTTTCACATTGAATAACAATGGATCAATCAATTTGCAATATTTGCCTCAGAAACAATACAACTGTAAATCCGTCACTTCTGATGCACATTCACAACAACTGTTTTTTTCCAATTCGGAACAATTTTAATTTATACGGTGAGTAGCACCGTTTTTTTGTTGTTGTTGATGAGCACTTGAGGGACTATGACATACCGACAACGACGATGATGATGACGATACAAATATGAAACACATTCACTTCATATGAGAAAATATATCCGAACAAAAGTATGCAATGTTTTATTCCATTTGGCTTTAAAAATTATGAACCAAAACAATGCACGCTAAAGTGGGAAAAATTTAAACGGAACAGGAGAGGTAGAAAAAAAATATCGACGATTGAAAAATAAACGGTTAAATTAAATTGGGAAATGAAGTGTATGCGCACACATTTACGAACAGTACGCTATGAAACTCTTATCATTTTTTTTCGACACATTTCAATATATACAAACTCTCGTTTTATTTCATAAAAATCGACAAACTTTATTCATTTATATGCAATCGCAATATTTTAATAAAAAGTAATGCCCATTTTTTTTGGCTTGTGCCAGTTTCCACTTGAAAAGTTGGTACTTTTTCGAAATCATCAATTTTTTTCGGTATATATATCATCAAATTAATTGAGTTTTTAGTTTTTTGTTTTAACACGTGCTTTTACCCATTTAAATTGAAGTGGATTCTTTCGAAAACTGTTAATTTTAGCCATTTTTCTACATTTAAAATGTTCATTTTGTATGAAAGTTGTTATATCTGATATGAAGAAGCAAAAACTGAAAGATTTTAGACATTTTCATTCATATTCTCTTTTTCACTTCACCCATGCAGACATCGAGTTGCAACAGCTGTATATCAAGTGACTCGCCCTGGCCACGAGCATTGCGATGCAACCGAGGGAATTTTACTGGATATTACACCGTTAATCGTCGATGGCAAAAAACTAGTCACACTCTATGACAAAGATCTAACTGAAGGTGTTAATTTGTTGATCGGTATGTACTCGGTTCTAATTACCACACTTAGTTTTTACATTGTAATCGTAGTAATTGTGTATTTGTGTGGTTTATTTCCAATGTAACAGTCGTGTCAGAACTATGGGGTCCACAGTGTGTACGATTAAAGGTTACGGTGAAATCGGATAATTGTGGCGAGAATGCACAATGCAATGGAAAAGGCATATGCTTTTCGAATGCATCAATGGTAAGTTGAATTCATAATTAGAAATAGAAATGTTTTGAATATTATGCCAATGAAAAACACATTCAAGAAGTGATGCATAGTTCATGAAGCTTCCCACTGAGAAGTTCCCAGGGGCTATGTACAGGAAATAGTTTCAATTACCAATAGGATATAATTTGAATAATCGATTTGGATTTCTTATTGTATTATAAATGAAATTCGAAAAATCATCAAGTATTGTGCAATACAACAAAAAGTTCTAAAGTATCATCTAAGTCTTCACCTGTATATGGAAACCAAAATATATATTTATCAAATTCAACAGAAGCGATACTCAAACGAAGAACGTTCATTTACTTTTGAAACTCAGTATGGTCTAATCACTTTAATGTTGAATGCATTCATCAGAGTAATCAATTCGAATAAAACATTCAAAGAATTGAAAACCATTTAATTTTGCAAATGGAATTTGGGGAAAAGTTTTTAAAGCACATCCATTAGTCATAGAGTTCCCTTGTGTAAGGTTGACTTTTAGCAAATTGAATGGCTTTGAAAGAGAGAAATATAATGACTGGTAAGCTTAAGTTAACCTTTCATTTTCTTTATAGGTTACGTGTAGATGTTGCAAAAAAGGGAGATAGAAAAAGAGCAGATAAAAATAGGTTGAGGTCAACGATAATTCGAATAAAAAACAATTGATTTCTGTGGTTTTAATGGGTAAAAATGAAAATTATCTTTTAAGCGATTATTTCATCGCATATCTACCCCATTATGTACACCAACAGATTGAAATTGAACAACAAAACAAATTAAATTATAACATCAGTTTCTGGTCTGACATTTAGAAACATGTATTCATTAAGAGAGATGAAAAAAAAAACAAATCGCACGAAAAAGGGAACTACGAAGGACTAACACGAATTCTGTGCACCGATGAAACGAACAAAATGTAATTTGAATTTATGTGAATAAAAAATGTGCTCATTTACACCTGACACAGTTGTGCATTGTCGTAATCAGTACGTGATTTAACCTGCAGCACGAAGCGATGGAATACTACAGTAGCCAAATTATGAATATTTCGAGATAATCACAATAACAGTGGCTATGAGAACAATGTCGAATTCATATTATCTGCGATTCAAATGAAGAGAATTGGATAGACATTTATAACTAAATTGCAAAATTTAATGCAACGCACGAACTGCATTTGGCTATTGCTTATGTATGTCATTTAATCTGGTTAATTTGAACATCCTCTATACCACAAGTTCAATATAATTGTAGCTTTGAAACAGATTCTGTTTCGTTCACACAAGAGAAAGGGAGAGGAATAGGAAGAGGGAAAGTGCGGACATCCATAACTAACTATTGTGTTTTCGTGTGAATATTTGATCTGTCCGAAATATGTATTGTATATGCGTAAACCCATTATTAATTGCAGATGCAATCGCTGTTAACAGCAACCGCATTTGAAATTGTAGCCTCAAAGCTTTATATGTATTTGTGCAAAGTATCACAAGTTGAAATGACCACAAATCAAAGTGGTTTAGACTGTTTTAGCTGCTGTGATGTGTCCGTTACGATTCGCCAAACGAAATTAATATCGAACGAATTCAACTCTAATCTGTTGCTAATTGCCACTTTAAATCAATGGCTGAACTTCGATTACATACCGGTGCATGTAGCCGAAAATTCATTTCCTGCTTTTTTCTACATTCAAACACTTTACGTACATCGTGCCCGCCATTTGACCCATTCTAATCTAACAGGCAAGCAATAAAAGTTATCTCTTTACTGTCGACATTTTATTACAATATCATTATTACGTTCATTTATGTAATTTACGCACCTATCGGTTTATTGTTTTGGCGATGGGCAATGGTATACTACGCGTTTTCATACCACCTGCTGTGCACACTTTTCTATTTCGCTATGTTGGAGCGTACGAAAATAAATGTAGCACGGTAACTCCTATTTTTATTTTGCAAGCATCTTTCGACCGAATTTATGAATGCGTTGAAATGCCAAAAGAAAAGTGTGTAATTTTCGGTGAGCATTTCGCTCCCTCCTTAAATCTCTCATTCGGGGGCAAACGAACAGTGAGAAACGTTTGTAATGCAATCAATTGACTCACATAAAGCGAGCGAAAGAGGCACAAGTGTACCTGAAGGAAATTAATTTAATGGACACAAAACAACAGCGGGAACTGAAAACATAAACAACAAACTCGTCGCGCACAAAAACAGAGAAATTCACGTTCACATAAATATAAATTGAATGCATTTGGTAGTTCGTTTCTTCCTCTCCCTTTTCCGACGTTAGAAGTTTTACTCAAAGCAATTTTGATTGCTTTTCGTTTTCCGGGCTAGCTACTGCTGCTTATTTGGTCCAAAATAAACGAACGTGTTAGACAGAGTACTCTCCGTGTGTCGGACAAATGTCGTTTTCAATTGTTTCATTTGTTTTTCTTTAGTTTTCAGAAATAATTCTTGATGCTTTTCGTTTTAATATCCGGCTGCCGTTGCACTAAGCCATCCAATGTCACATTATAATTCAATGTCCCAACGAGCGAAAGAGACACAAAGAGAAAATAAACATGAACTTTTCTACTTCTTTTCTGTTTTTGGCTAGTGATTTAACATTTGCTTTTACAATCTCGTGCTTTGACTCTAACAATCATCTATTGAAGCAGCATGGTAAAAGTAATGAAATATAGCGCACAATGTCACAAAGATGAAGAAACGGTACGGTAAAAATGAATTGTAAAAGTAAATGAGAAATGTGCAAGCAGCGGCCATGGTGACAGCAATGGGGCTTTACAAAACCGAAAAAGGAAATTCTATCCTAGAGTAGGTCAAGCGAAAAAATAAAAGCCATTTGAAAGTTGAATTTCCCTAGATCTTCTCTATTCTACCTTTTCTGCAATTTCACCTTTTTTGTGTGCGGTACATGCAAACTTAGTCACGCATCGGAGCGAAATTTTCTCTTTGACTTGTTTTGTTTGGTGGCGACAGCGATAAGAAACTTGTTTTATTACACATTTTGCGTTCTATTTTTTTCTACGACAGAATGGGTTATTTATGAAGAACGTGCACTTGCCGCTCCAATGGTTTGCTTTGTTTGGTTTGTTGTGTATATTTACAAACGCACACGCATCGATTGAAATTATCGTTCGTCTCGCATACAACACTTGATAAATGAAAGCAAAGAGGACAAAAAAACCGTTCACGCGTCCAATGTTTTGATTCGGGGTTAGAAACATAAACACCTCTATCTATACGTGTGAAATAATGCTGAAAAATTAAATGGTCAAGCTTAAGAGCTTTATCATGGCGCTACACTGAGCCGACTATTCGTCTTTGTTCCATTGAGAAATTGCTTACGCATCCAAAAAGATAATCTCTCACATTGAAAATGCTTTTCTTTTGCAACCCCTTTTTTATGAGCACACGCACAAAGCAAAGCTGAAAACCAATCTTCCGCAACAGATTCGCCTATTATTCTAACGTCAGTCAGAAAAATCTGAATGCGAACAACAGCTACAATGAGCGGCAAAAAAAAAGAGAGAAAATGAGAGAGATTCAAACAGATTAAATTAAATTGATGGTATGGAGCATAAAAATATCATTCATAAAGCTAGAAATAGAAAAGTCATTCTCTTTATGTGTATGTCAGAATTTGAATCAATATAGAAACGATAATAGGTAGTCTTCCTCGGCATGCATATCTTACTTTGAATGACATAAAATTCGCTCAAAATATTTCGCCCTGTCAACAGACAATGTCTCATGCACCAACATATTTGTTCCGCAATTAAGTTGCTGTTTGTGTTACGTTCACAACTATTCGTTTAGGGGTTTTTTCCCTCTAAAGGCCTTGACTTTTTCAATGCATCATTTAAAAAGTGGTGTTTACACTTCACTCATGCACATAAACGAATCTTTTTTTCCCCTAAGTACTAACTACCATATAAGCGTGTATGTGTGTTTGTTTTTGCTCAGATAGAATAAGTGTCAACATGTCATTCCTAATTTAAAGCGTATTCATGTGTATTTGCATCGCCGCCAGTGTTTTATCATGCGATTTATATACATAAAATTAGCCGCACAGACAAATAAAGCTTCCGTTTATAAAACATCATACAATGTAATGCATTGTAAAAAGCGGTAGTTTTGGTATAGTCGGTATGTATGCCTGTGTAGTGTTTGGTACTATTAACATGAAGCGCATGTATCTTGCTTATGTGAAAGTCTTTCACCTGTCGTAAATTTCGAAAGCCACAATTTGTAAACGATATTCATGTAATTTTGAGTGAATGAAAATACTATACGTACGTAGTTTGCAAGTTTGTGTGATACATTCATATTTGTGTCTATGTGTGTATTTTATTTGCACAAATCTGACATGGAAACGAAAATCAATGGTTTCCTTTATTCTCTCTATCCGCCTCACACATTCCATACATGTGAACTGTTGCGGTTTGCTTTTCTACGTAAATAAACCACCAGACAGGTGCGCCGCTGACGACAAGCGACAAAAGATATTCATTGTATGCATCCGAAAATGCGCGATTGTATAAGCACCAGATGGGTAAATATACAGTTTTGATTGTTTCACTATGTATTCCCAGGGCTTGTCATGCCAACTTCTTTTAAAATCCGTCAACACAAACGATAACGCTCAAATATTTAATAGACAAAGCTCATTGGGGCCGCTCAATTTAAGTTGACTACTTCTTACATCCGTTATTATATCAGTCATTTTTAAATTGTTTTTTTAGATTTCGTGATTTATTTTTATTTTTAAGTTCCTTTCAATAAAATAAAGGGATGCCAAAAATAGTGTCTGTCAAATTACTTGAATGCGGCAGACACAACAGAAACATCACAAAACAATAGCGCTTTTAATTTAGAAATGAAAATAGTGTTTAAATAAATCGGGCAGAGACGTAACATGACACACTCTCCTATCATTGTTTTTGGGATAATAAATTCAAATACATGCACAAGCCAACCAAT